ACCGAGCAGCAACTCACTCGAGCAACGATTATTCTCTCTTAATTATCTCGTTTAGAAGAAGAAAATAGAAAAAAAAAAAAAAAAAAAAAAGAAATGCACTCGAAGAATTTCCAAAAAGTTCTTTCAACTGTCGTATTCTCTTTGAAAAAAATCCTCGTGAGATATTTTTTCCTCTCGATCCTCTCGATTTCCGGTCGGTTGATCGTGAAACGCGATTAAAATTGTTCACAAACAGTTGCGTCAATTTTCATGATTGTTCGAAAATTTTCGAGACGGGAGAAATTCTAACGTTCGATCGAAGATCCTCCGTAACGAAGCGGCGGCGGATGCTCTCGCGTCATGGTCGTTCCTCGAAATCGAGTTTTTCACGTGATTATCGGAAAATAATTGAACATCGAGATCAAGAGGCAACGTATGAAACACATTTTCTTTAATTGTTCTTTCACGGCTCGTTCACTTTTATTCCCTCCTTTCTTTTTTTAATTCACGAAATATAATTCTCTCACAATTTTTTTACTTTCCCAAAGATACGAAGATCCACGACCGTCCTTCGTGCAAACGTCGTTGCAAATTCGGATTATCCGGGAAGGCAGGAAAATCGTCGAATCTTCGTGTGGTCGAGTATTTTCTGGGCTATTCGTAGAAATGATACGGTCAGTTTTGATTAATTATTTCGATTGGAAAGATACGGGGAAAAAAGGGAGAAAAAATAGAAATATTTTGCCTCGAGAATATTGGATGCAAACAATTTGATTATGAAAATCTCGATGACGAGTGTGCGTTGCACTCTGTGTCTTTCGAGGAACGGACGACCGATTCGAGTAGCGCAGATGCCACATTGGCATTGAACGCCGATGACTACCGTCTCTGAATACGAATGAGCCAAGTACAACGATACAGAGAAATGATTCCTTCTGCGACATGATCCGAACTGCGCTCGATACCAACTGAACCGAAAACCCGGTATCCCTTTTGATACTTTGACTTGGGAGAGGAAAGAAAAAAAAAAAAAAAGAAGAAACGTAATAAGAATATATCTTTTCATTTGTAATTGAAATTTTCATAATGATGAATCGTCAAGTAAAAAATTTCCAATCCTATAAATTATTGAAATTGAAATGATATAAAAAAAAAAAAAAAAAAAAATTGAGAAACAAGATTCTACGGAAAATTAATGTAAATATATGATACACAGAATACCGATATATTCGAGAAAAGATTCTACTAGGTACGTAAAGATGTCGTTTGAAGCTTATTTATTAATAATAAGACATTGACATCTATTATATATTTACGTTTCTTTTCTTAATTTAAATTATTCCAAATAAAATAAAACTTTTTAATGATAAGAATAAAATATTCAAAGCAATATGACGATCACTGCAAAATACCAAATACCTTTCGTGTCTTGTGTATCTAAAGAGAGGTTATGTTGTAACCAATTAGACGTAGAGATAACTCTATCTCTGTCTATGCTCTATGTCCGTCTCGCTTCATTCAACGCGAACTTCACTCGTAACTTAACAAACAAGCCTAAACCAAGATTTTTCTTGTCATCAACTTTTGTATTCGTCTCTAGAATCCATCCTCTAAACTATTCCACGAATTATTAACATTCTACATGTGTATATATATATATATATATACATATGTGAATATTTAATATATCATATATTACAAATGTAATAGAAACAAACTGTTATCTCGTCGGATGTAAAATTTACATATTTGATTCCAACAAGATCAACAGTCTACGCTATGGTATTCTTGCTTAATTAAAGATTGTCACCCTTCTTATCGTTGATAGGACGCTATACGCCGTATTCAAATGATCTGCAAACCCGCTTATCATCCCAATGCATATTGTACAGTTGTCGTGTATCATATTTGCAGACCTCTGGCTGGAATCTTTTAAACCCATTCATTGACTTACATAAATAAAAATTAATAATAAAGATGAATATGTTGTGTAGAAAGAGTAGATATATCCTTTCAAAAACTTTGATAAAACTTTTGACCATAATATTTTCAAGATCATTTGATTTTTATTTATAAGAATTATTCGCTTTTTATTAATCGATTTTCATAATAGTTTTATCACCTTATCTGACTGAGGATTATCTTGGATCATATTGTGTAATCTATGAAGCTTGGATATTATGTTGACACTAATATGTTATTGATATGTTATTGATAACTAATCTACGTCTTAATAAAAAGTAAAGAAATAAAAAATTTAAAAAAAAATCTTCAACATACATATATACATACATAGGAATAAAAAATGAATTATAACAATTGATTTTTTTTTTTTATAATTGTGGAACTTAATCTCTAAGCAACATATCTTTCTATTTATTTTTATTTAGAGAAACTATAGTATAAAATTTCATCCATTGTATTGCACGTGTGTCATTATATTTATGCTACATAAGAATAGAGTCAATATTTATTGACACGAGGAATTATCTCAAATACACGATTACACATCTCATAGGAAATAAAATTCGAAAGGATTTAAAGAAAACTGCAAATTTTGAACGATACTTTCATAAAATCATTTACCTTAATTTCTAACCTAACTCAACCAAACTTAACCTCTTTAAACGAAAGAAAGGGATCTATCGAGATGATTCGCACGGGTAATCGCTATTATTTGCAAAAAAAAAAAAAAATGATCACCATAAAAATTTATCTTCATCCTCTTTTATCGCTTATTGTAAATTGTAATTGTTAGAATAGAAAGATAACACTTGTTGATACGTTTAATGATCATTCGTAAAATATTTGTATCAATATTTATTCATTTGTTCATACAACTTTTCTAGCTTCCTTAAAGACAGAGAAAAATGACACGAATATGACTAAATCTTTGATATTATATTATAACTTTGATATATTATAACATTACCATAGAGAATATAATGTAAATTTGTAATAAATTTTTCATTAAATAAAATTAATAAAATTATTCTTAATTTCAATTATTTTTCTTCTAAGATATATATATCATAAATAAATTCATGATAAATTTATTTTTATAAATGATTAATTTATACCGAGTTTTATTTTTTCATCGAAATTTTTCTTAATTTTAATTATTTTTCAAGAAAATACCAAATACCAGAAATAACGACGATTATTTTTCCTCCGTCAAAGGTGAAATATCGAAGGAATCGTTCAGGATATTTTGGAAAATTATCGTGGAAAAACTCGTTGGTGAAATAAGCATGTCGATCGTGCGTTCGTTTATTGTACTTGTTACGTGTATTTTTTGTAAAAGCTGTCTACGATATATCACTATTCCTGGCACGGATCGAACGAGTCTGTCTCGCGTGTACATAAGTGTATACAGTGTCTGAAAAATAAGAAAAAGAGGAAAACAAAACGTTTCGTGATCAATAATTCACGGAAAACAATGATTTCTCGCATAATTACCGACTATATTTAAATTTTCAAGAGTTTCTTAATCCAAAGAGATGTACAGTTAATATAAATAATATTATTGGATATCTGAAATATTTTTATATTGACAATTTATATCGATTAGATAACTTGCAAATTAAATGTTTCTTACTAATTTCCTTTTGGTAAAATTTTTTGGTATATTAACACGTTTTACTTATCGGTTGTGAATTAAACAAAAGACAGATCAGTTTAAGAATTAAAATTTTGACTATCGTGCAAAAATAAAATGAAAACTCGAGGCATCATTTCTATTCATCATTGCTTTCCAGATAGTATTTGCATATATTTGTATATTATTTTCAGTATATGTAAAATCAATGTATTGTAAAAATAATGTAAATAAATATATTGATACCAATATCTCATCATTTATCACCATTATCCAACGAACAAATAGAATTTGTTTTGACGAATGATCCAAAAATATTTCATTTTCGTTTTTGAGAGTTATGATCAATGGAAAACTATAAAAAAAAAATAATAAAATATTATTATTAATAATATAAATGCTTAATGTGTTTAATAAATTTTTTATCATCTCTAATAAATTCAGAAAAATTAATTATCTATCAATCGATAACGAAAATCAACAGAATACCGATTTATTTTATTATCTGTTATCGGTCAATAAATATGAGTGATATAAAACACATAAATAATATGTTAAATTGTGTTAAATTAATACAGATTAGCGATTAAATATATATTACTATTACCCATTATATGCTGTATTCAAAAATAAGTACGTGAACACTTAATTCTTGCAATTATTTGAAAAAGTTTCGTGAAATTTTTAAGAGAAGTTTCGTTAAATTTTTGTTCCATTGAACTTTTATTTTAGAGTATTGGAGATCAAATTTTAATAATAATTTATATTTCATTAATAATAATGAAGAACGTATATTTCCTTCTCGTTTATCGTTTGGCTTTTATAATCGTGACATTCCGATTATTAATTATTTTCATTATTTCGCTGCCAATAAGATTTTCATTTTGATTTGTAAAATTTCCTAAAAGCAAAATAAATTTTTCTCCGACTATGGACACCGTTCTCAAATTATCCAAATTTTAATTTGTTCAAAATTACTGTTACATTATCTAATTACTATTACAATATACATTTTTATAAAATAATAAATTTAAAAAAAAAAAATTTGTTCAATATTAATAATTTACATTACATACGTAACACGAATTCCATAAAATTTGGAATCCACAAACTTTGATCGCTAATATACGTCAGTGAATGATCGTATTAAGGGATAAAGTCGCGCGAGGGTGTGTAGCAAAACAAATCAATTTCCTGAAGTGACCCCTACAGCTTTCCTCGCCATATGATTCAGGGCTTCATCTGGTATCATGTCTACTTATAATCAGCAACCGTTTCAACATCTTTCTATAAGAGAAAAGAAAAATTGTAATTGTAGTTATTATATGTTTTACCAAAGAAGAAAAAAAATATATATATATATATACCTATGAAAGGAAGAAAAATGATCAAAAAATTGCTTCGCCCCGAGAATCATGCGGCGAGGCGAAATTTCGACTAGATGAAGGATAGCGTAACGTGTGTTGTTGTTCGTAATGACCTTGAAACTAAACACACCGTCTCACATATTGGTCAATAGAAATGGCGACTCGACCGAATTGTATTATCCTTGGGTATGTAAACATAGAGGGAAAGGTTGGAAAAGAAAATACCTAGGACGATTATCGTGAATTTACAGATTGAAAAATTGTGAATTTTTTATGATACGATCATCCAGAAATGAAAAATAATAAAAAAATTTTGAAAAATATATATGGACAGAGTGATATAGGAAATATATAAGATGTGTACCTTTCAAGTTTTATGGAGATACGAGGGTTAATAAAACGTGTGAGTAGTAGCTGTATACGTTTCATTTTACGATTATATTGGCCTCTCTTCGGAGAATGATAAAACGTTAAAAAAGAAGAATCGAAGATCAATAGATATAAACAATCTTATTTATTTCTCTTATTTATTTCTTTCTTTCTTTCTTTCTTTTTTCTTATGTTTCGTTAGCGCCACGAAGAACGCTCTGAATATATGCCAGTTAACAAACGCCTTCGTAAAATGAACTGTGTTGTAACACTAGAAATAAGCAATAAGCGATAAATTACATTATAAATATCAAAGTTCTCTTGATTTGTCCTCTTAATTCTTTTATCGTGTTTGAATTGTCAATGATCTAATCTTTGAAAAAAATTAAAAATGAATTTTCTTATTTTGAGACAAAAAAATATAAAACAAAAATTCCACGTATTATAATAAAAGTTAAGAAAGCAATATTCAAAAATAAAGCTTAAGAATGAGATATATTATTATAAATAGCGCGCAGAACATCAACAATAACAATAAATCTAATGAAATAGTTTTGACGAAGTATTAATAACAATTTGTTGCTTTAAATTATTTGTCCAAACATTTCTGGAAATGTTCCATGACGAGTGCCAGAAAAAAAATCTTAACTCAATAATTCTGGAAATATTGTGAAATTCTTATTGGATTAATGAATCGATATCATTGTACAAATTTCGATAAAAAAATTAAGACGAATAATGTTAAATTTGAATTAAAAATATTGCTCGTTTGATTTAGAAATTAAGTGGTATAAAAAGAAATTTATGGCTTTCGGGGGATAAAAGTAGGGAGAAAAAAAATTCTCTAGATTTAAAGGGGAAAGAGTGAAGATCGAAATTCGATTGAAAGGAACTCGTTTTACACAACTGTTGATTTGGCACTGACAATTACACGTTATGTAGCGATATCTTTGTTGACTTCGAGCTTAAAAAGGCGCAAAGGAGTTGATTCTAAAAATAAAATTTACCCTCGTTTCTGGCGTGTATTCAACCGCGATCGACTATCGAACGCATTGGCCATCGATCGATCAAATAGTTATAAATTAGAAAAACTATTATCGTCAATCATTTAGATTTGCAATTTTAAATTCGTTACGAATTATTTGTTATTAATAATATATCAATTATTATTATATTCGACTATACGTATGTAATGATAAAACTTATTTTATTATTAATATTATTTAATATTGTTTACTAGGAATTTATTTTTATAAATAGAGAAAAATTTCTAGATTAAATAAACGATGAATAAATTAATTTTAATAAAAACAAATTTTTTAATGTTTAATTAAACTAACAAAAATTTGACCATCATACTTTGATTATGTGAAAATTTTCGTACGTTGGCAACACTGAATTTTACGTCGAAATTATCGAACGAGCTTAGGACAGAGCACGAAACAAATTCGAGTAATTAACAAATGGAAAACTTGTATACGAGTTGTCGTTCTTTACTTTTCTTTCGTTCATCAAAACGTCGTGAAACGGACATACAACTTGAGATAAGTCTGGATTTAAATGGGACACCTACGCGAAAATTCCGTTACTATATATTATAAAGTACTTTAGTACTTGGAGGCTGTGTAAATGACACAAGAATCATTATCTGCGAACATGACATTTTAACGTTATTCACGCGTCATTTTGATTTTACGACACAACAATAAAATTTCCAACCAATTTTTCAAGTAAAGATTTAATTTTATTTTAACAGAAACGAAATAAGGTTATGTTGCTTTAAAGACAAATTTAAGACTCGAGAACGAAAAAAGGATTAGATTTGTAAATAAATATACAAAATTATATGAAAATGAAAATATACATTGATCATAAATATTGATCCCGTATATATTCGCATCACTATGTTATCATGTCAACGTGCATTTTGGATGATGACCGTATTCTTATAATAGCGGAATTTATGTTTCGCTGAGAACATCAACTACCAGCAGCTTGCCAGAAATTAGAGAAAATTATTTGATGCTTGTTATTCTTACAGAATTGTCAACCACAATCCAAATATATGTATTTTCCTAAACAAAAATATTTACCAACTAGTAACTATAAACATTATCAATCGTATGAAGATAAATTTGGAAATTAATCATTGCAGTCTTTTCCTTGACGAGTGAACGAGTATATAAGAGAAAACGTATATAAACCGTCATTCAAAAATTTACATTCATAACATGCATTGTAAAAAAGTATCAAATTTTTATAGAAAAGTATCAAGCACAGAAAATGTATTGAAAAATTAAGAAATTAATTTCTTAATTTTTTCCTTTCTAAAAAAGGAAAATAATATCTAAAATTCTCGAAATTTTAAATATAGCATTCACAGAAAGTTATCATAAAAAAAAAAAAATAAGAATATACGAAAAAGCTTGAATTACCTCCTAATGAATGATACGTCACCATAACCTTATTAGGAATATTTATGAAACTTCATATTACACGATTGTTTCACATCACAATAATAATAAAAAATTTTTAATTCACTTATAACCTATAAATGAAATTCTTCGTTTAAAAAATGGTTTTACAATACACGGATAATTCTCATTCAGAACGATTCGATTTAAAAAATTGAATTCATTCTATTCGCGTGGGAACAACGGTATCTAAGATAAATTTCGATATTTTACAAGTAGAACAGTCGATTTTGTCTCACGAGCGCAACAATTCCACCAGAAAACAATGTTGGAGAGCAACGGCAGCAGTCATTCGTTCGACACACGTCTCTAGCAACAAGTGTTTGTCGTGGTTGTCCATCGGTAACGAAGCCCATATTAGTGTTCGTGGCGGTGTTCTGTCTGGAGGGAAACGCATTCCCAACGGTCTTTGATCCTGTACGAATTCAATTTCAACACTGACCTAGCATATCATCGTTTGATTGATGACGTCTTATCAACTCGAAACGACTGTATTTCTTGGAATACCGTCTATAATGAAAATCTAATGACTTCGAAACGACTTCGATGATATCAAGAAACAAGAATGCCTTTATCTTAAAATCACGTTCATGTTTCGTCAAGTTTCCGTCAAGTTCGTCGCAGCCGTTATGTTTCAAATTACGGACTACCATCTATCGACCTATCTACGAAGTTTCGACGTAACAGAGGGGAAACTCGGGAAAACTGGTTCTCACACTTGGCTAGACTCAATTTCACCTTGAACTACACTGACCTAAATCACTGGTATTGTTCATCGTCACATTTTCGACCGCACGAATCGTCTTTTCGTTCGCCGATTATTTAACGAAACGAGATATTTAACTCTTCGATATTTATCTCGTCTCGATCAAAAACTAAACTTATCGATTGAACATCAATTGTTATTTTAATATTATTCAAAAATAATGCGAAAATTTTCTTTCAGGATTGATTTCAAATTCTGATTTAGATCCGTTCGAGGCAAAAATGTCAAAGTCGGGGGGGGAGGACGAAAATTTCGCTCGTGTTATGGACGACACCAGCGCGGTCGCTCGTTGCGAACTGGATCGGCTTTCAAGCCGGCAGACACGTTGTGCGGAATTTACGGCGCATCGCGCTTGTATGCGCGCGCGACATAACCATTGCAATTTCACGGACTTTCTGTTTCTCTCTCCCTGGGAAAGTCACGTGCGCCGCGTGAATCTTCATTTACGTCGATTATTATTCTGTCATCTTAATCCTGTGTGCAATCTTTCGTCACTTGAAAGGACCCGGAAAAAAATTTATGTCAACATGGATTACGGTCAATGAAAGGAGAATTATGGAAGTTGTTTGACCAAGGGTGAATATGATTGATCGATGTATCCTATCCGTATTATTAACATCGTGATACTCTCAAGTTTATTTTGCGCACCTTAAATTTTGTGAATGTTCCATAGCTTTTTCGAAAATTGTGAAAAAATTCAGATTTATTTTTAGTATTTTTATGGTTTTTCTATATCTATCGATAAGAAAAATAGAATATATACGAATCAGAATAATTTTTATAAAAAAAAAATTACATAAACAATTTTAAACATTCTATCTACTTTTTTTAATTCGCTTTACATACCAATATTATTTACTCTCTGACATAAAATGTAAATGATCGCGTTTCGATACTTTTAAATAAAGATAAAAATATGATTCTTAATATATAATAACTACGCGATATAAAAAGAATTTCTTTACGTGCAAAAATCAATTTACGACGAGATTCTCGAAATAATTCTAGAAATTATATCTCAATCGATTTGACTATCAACAATAAATTCACAAAAAAAAGTTCGGTTGTTGCTTTACTGTTATCCACCGTGTACTTAACGTGTATAATTTGCATGATAAGATTCGTTCCTATCGCGGCCTCTTTTAGATGTTTCGCGAAGGAAAAAAAGAAATAGAAACAATTTGCAATATGCAAAGCTGTGGATCAGTGGTGGCATCGTTTGCTCAAAACATAAAATACAGTCGATTGTTCACGGTTCAATTACTCTACATAGGGAAAGCATTTCAACGATGCTTAGATAATCGATATTCAATCACACTTGCGAAACAGCCTTTACGCGAACTGCTACAATGGCCGTTTTACCGCGAAACTTGGTGTTCGTTACGTAACTAATAAATTTTACGACAGAGGGATTTTCTCTTTTTTAAATATTTAAATCCAATTAAAAAATTATTGATCTTTTTTTTACTTTATGTCGAGGTATTTAATTGCTATTTTATTCATACCTTTAAATATTGTTATGGCCATTCTGATGGAAATCATTTTAATTAATATTTTCTTAGAAATTAAATTTCAATTCCTAAATTTTATAATTCAATCTTTATGGACAAATTATAAAAATAAATCTGTATACATATATCTTTGATTGCTATACATATTAAATGTTATTGTTCTCTCTACTTAACTTTCTATATGGTTATTTTTTTGTTAAAAAAAAAAATGATTTCCAAGAATTTTAATCTAACAAACTACCTGAAATTATCTGAAAAAAATTACTTGTATTGAGATTGTAACATGCATACGACCTTTAGATACGTTCTCTGTACAGAAGTGTAACCGCTTTTTATCTTGTGCAGTCGTTCAACTATGGTAACTCTGGCGATAAGACTTCAGATAAGCTCAGGAGCATGTGCTCATAAATGTAACGTGAATAAGAGAAAGTACTAAAAATTAGAAATTTATTCTTAAAGAATCTTTCAAGAATTTTAAAAAAATAAGGAATTCGAAAAAAAAAACTTAAAAATTGTTGAATGTAAAAAAAAAACATGAAGAGAAAAAAATAGAAAAATAAAATTAAGAAGAAAAAGTGAAAAATAAGTTTTATATAACTCAATATTTTTTTTTTAAATCTACTTGTAAATGTATTTATCACTTTAACCTCGAATTTCATGCATTCTTGACAAAAATCCAAAAATACAACTTAACAAATCGTAAAAGTTTCGATTGTTAATCCGCGTTTAAATAATAGTAAAATTTCAATAAACAAATATGTTCCTTTATATGTTTTCGAATAAATTTGTTAGGTTGGCAGAGTTTCGCGTCATGGCAAATAATTATCAATGTTTTTAAATTGATAATTATAAATTCTTTTATGTTGTATGAAAGCTTCATTGTGAAACAAGTTCAATAACCTATTTTCTAGTCATTATTAATAAAACAATGTTTCAATGATTGTAAATATAATAAAATTTTATATTTTATTTTCTATAATCATAATGTTGGAAATGATATTAAAAAAGAACATTTGGCGCCACCAAACAGCAAAATAAGAAAGAATGAAAACCAACTGCCAGTATGAGTTGATAATATAGAGAAAATGTTTTATCATGTAAAAAGCATTCTACATTTTCATCTTTACCGACTGCCAAACACATTTTACCGACTGTTACAACTGGGTCAATTCATTTGTATCTTTATTGATGAAAAAAGAAAATATGTAACGAATATTAATATTAATTAAAATCAAATTGAATTTATCATAATAATTTATAATTTGATACGTAAATAAAAAAGAATAACGTATTTTTACGGTATGAAAAAACCTATAAAAAGAATATCACTTCTTTTCTATGATTTGGCTGAATCTCTCTCTCTCTCTTATGTTTTCAGTTTTCATCATGACCTACATCCTCTTGCGTATCGTTAAATCGATATGTACAAACAGTATACATACAATAAATCGTTAGAAGAGCGAAAAAAATAAGTGGCTTGCATAAACATTTTGCTTATGTTTCATTTGTTATCGATTAAGAATTGTATTGTTATTCGTGAGAAAATCATAGAACAAAGATAATTCAGATATGCAACGTGATAAAAATATTACATATCGTCGAGTTGTACAAACAAGAAATATCTCGGAATTTGTGATAATTGATAAATGTGATGCATCATAAAGTTTACTGTCATCAAAGTCAACGACAAGAAAGTAAAAGAGATATTTATATACATATAACGTATTTATATTAATTATTTTAAGTAATGACTTATAAATACACAACAAAGTAAACAATAACTAAAAACATAAATATTGATTGTCAATATTTCAAAATCCTATTAAAAATACAAAAATCAATACAATTGAAATCAGTATTTAAATATGTATACATCTAATTGAAACATTTTTATTAACCCGATAAAATAAAAAATATGAAAATTAAATAAAATTATTTTTCAAAATTACTTTTACAATATATTCGTATGTTTCAGTTATATAGAACATCCTATATAATACTTGCTTTCAACGAAATTAAAAATAACGATATCTTATTAAATTTTTCAATATCCACGAACCATTATAGGACTGAAATATTTGCTAAATTTAAAAACCTTGGGCATAATCGAAAGTTAAAGTTTAATACTCACTCCTCTCGCATCTCGGAAGAGAATGGCGGCGTGCACAGGATCTAGGCAAGCATCTGAAGCTCTGTGAGGGACGGCAGGTGTACCCAAAGAAAACCTTCTGGCACCTGGATCCAAAGAACTCCTTCTAAGCGCTCCTATAATTTAAAATTCATAATTCATAATTAACATTTCATTTATCTAATGTAATGCAATTACTAATATTACAAAATCGAGTATCTGATATAAAAATGGTAATATATCTAGATTTTAATGATTTAGAAAGAAAAACAAATTTCAAAGAATGTCCAAATGATCATAACGTTTATATATAATTAATAATATCTATCATCATATTATTATAAAGTATTTATTTTAATATTTGACTTTAACAATATATAGGTTATAGTATTATTATTATTATCCTGCAAAATTTTACACTTAAATTATTACAGAAAATATTGTGACCCAATTCGTTTACATATTATATGGTTGGTAGATATGTAAATTGAGTTTATCGTAACCCATATGTAACTCATCGAATATCTGTTAGACATATTTTTTCCTGACAAACTACATCCTCACCGGTTGACCATGATGGCAGTTAATTTGAACGGGAATTACAACACTGACCTTAACTCGTTACAATTTAACACAATTTATGAGCATACGTGCACAATCTTCCATGGGGTTACGTAAAATGTAATTCCTTATTTACATTTCAATTGCATCCACGTTCAAACCCGCTTATGTGTCTCCACGATTCATCTTATTATACTTTTCTAACCTCACTTTTTTTTATTCGAAATAAGTGTAATATTTTTAGAATAATTCATATTAAAGCTTTTAAAAATACTTTTCGATAAATGATATTAGAATTGTCCATTTTGATATAGAAAAAAAAAAAAGTTTTTAAGCGTTTATCAATTATTAATATCATAACATAAATAGAATGCAAAAAGAAAATGATATATTAAGCATATATTAAACACTTGATGTTAATTATTTAACGTGAAACGAGTATTTTTTTAATTTTTTTAATATTAACACATTTGCGAATAAATTAATCATTCAAATTATATTTCAATACTGAAATTTTTTTAGTGTGATTCATATTTAAATAAATTATTTTTAAAATCATATATAATTTATTAATTTATATATTTTTGTAAATAACAACTCAACTTATTTTATTTATATAAAAAAAAAAAGGAATCGGTTTAGTACGTACCTTTCTAATAGCGAAAGAAAGATCATTCTAACCTATGTATTCTTTACAAGAAAACAATAACCTTTCATGTGACACAAAGTATCTGATTTCTGTTTCGAGTTATATCACGTTTGCATTCCTCGTAACGCGAAAAACAAAAGATTCAAATTCTGCACGTTCTTGCAGTTTCGACGGTGTTAAGAACGTGAAGGTTTCCGACCATGTGTTCTGCAAAATAAACTTTTTCTCGGTTGAAGAACGTCGAACGTGTAGTATTACAGCGCCACGGTAGACCGGAATTTACTATCCAATTGCACGCTATCCTTCTTCGTTTTCATCGCATTCGAATATTTTATCGTGTACAAAAAATTGGCGTGTTTAAACAATTTATATGGTGAAATTCAATATGGAAAATAAATTTTTTGATGTTATCAATTAATTTATAAGAATATCGATATATTTTTCACACTGTCTTAATTTTCGCGTGAATTGTAAAGATTTGATTTTTCACAAGTACGTTCTCCTATTACACGTAGTATAGGAAAAAATTTTTGAAATAGGAAAAAAATATTGAGTTTGGAAATTTTTTTATTACACATTTTTACTACTCGCATTTATTCAGATGATATTTCATCTCATGATCATCTAATTGACATTCTCGATTAATTTTACCTTGAATAAATTTAACCTTTTTTGTCTTAATACTTTTCTTTTTATTTTTTTCGGGTATTAATAATATTTGCATTTTATACGTGTTTATATTTTTTTAATTTTACATAAATGCATGAACATTCGCAATCCCTTGGCGATACATTTTTTTTGATCATGTTTTATCATGTGAAAAGGCCTAGTGAAATTATAGAGATAGAGATGATCAAACGATCGAAACTCTGCTTTTAAAGGTTA